TTGGCCGGCATTTCATTTCGTGGGTTGAACTCATATATCAAATAACGTGTATCTTGGTACTTTGTAAATGGTAAAACAAATACTCTATAGCTAATTATTTCCTCAGAAATTATGATGAGATAAAAACAATGGCAGTGACAAAAACATGATGGCAAGTATAAGTAATTTCAAAGTTCTACTGCAAAAGACGTCATTCTGTTCTATTAATGAGATTTCACTTTGGAAGGTCAGTATTAGAAGAGAATGGCTTTAGGATGAGAAGTCATTTTCGGGCCACCAAAGGAGGAGGAGAGGGCAGTGGAAGACAAGGGTGGGTTTCGGCCAAGGGAAAGGACGCAAGGTATCAGCCACTTTCAAGCAAAAGTCTAGACGTTTGGTTATCTAATGAAAATATTAACGTTTCTGAAGTTCAATGGTTTGTACATGAATATTTGAAAAAAATCCTGAAAAACACAAGTGAAGTATTGTCAGTTAGGGAGATAGAACTCAAAGATGGTACTCATTGCATTACTGAACAACATTCGACGATGATCTTTTAGGTAGGAATTTGTTTAAGGTAATTTCTCTGCTTTAAAAGATTAATTTACCATTTTAGTTAAAAGAACAAAAGGAGGGGGCCGGCCCCGTGGCCGAGTGGTTAAGTTTGCGCGCTCTGCTGCAGGCGGCCCAGTGTTTCATCAGTTCGAATCCTGGGCGCGGACATGGCACTGCTCATCGAGTCACGCTGAGGCAGTGTCCCACATCCACAACTAGAAGGACCCACAACTAAGAGTATACAACTGTGTACTGGGGGGCTTTGGGGAGAAAAAGGAAAAAATAAAAAAATCTAAAAGAAGAAAAAGAATCAAACTGGTTTTTGACGTCAGGTACGCAAAACTAGCAGGCTATTGAATCATTTCTAAAAGTTCTACTGGCTGAATTGGGGGTCACATTCACATAACCCAATAGGATGAAGACTGCAGCTTGTGGTCAAGGATCCTACAGAAATACTTGATACAATTTGGTTACAAATAATACCCACTGTTAAGTTCATAAAGTCATGTTCTTTAACCAGAGATGTTTCTTACTGTATTCTAAACTTAGTTGCTTTAAAAATTCTTGGGAAAACCTTAACCCGACAGATAAGTCTACGGTTTATTTGTAAGACCCGATAGCATTTGCCAGTCTGTGGGAGGATGGGCATTTTGGACTGTGAGCTTTGGTCTTCTCCTTTCTTCCTAGGTCCTACCACACCACCTCCTGGACTCTGCAGTTAGTCCTTTATCTCCTTTTCCATTTTGGAGGAAAAAAAGAAAAAAACACTTCACTAGGCAGCCATTCCTTTGGGCTGGGCTCATCTCTCACCTTTGACCTTATTCCAGTGAAGGTAAATTTTAGATCTGAACTCCTAACTTCTCCTGAGAACAAAAATGCTGCTACTGGGAATTCAAAGTGTTTCCTAACCTCTGTGGTCATCAGTTGGTAGCAGAATTTGTATAATAGGCAGAAATGTTAGATTCTATCACTAGACGGTAAGAGTTGTTTGTCTGCCAGCGGGGAACTTGAACACAACTGCTTTTCTCTGAACAAAATGTACCAAGAGTTATTTTTCATTTGTATTGTGCAAAGAGAAGCATTGCTGAAAATGGGGATCACATATAACTTTGGGAAACAATGGCTTTATTTGGGTGAGCAGAGATTGATGGAGTACTTACAGCTTTGTTAACACAATGGGTTGAGACATAAAAACTGTTGTTTTTACTATTTATGTAATAAAGCTTAAAAAGTTATTCTGTAGTGTAGGACAACCATAAAAATGTATCATAGTGATGTGCTGTGATTATATAGTATCTATTGCCCATGGATACATCGTATCTAGAACACTGTTTGAAGGTACTAAAATAAAACTATTATAATGCTTAATTATTTCAGTTTGTTAAGTGTAGAACTAGCTTTCTGTTCTTGCGTAGAGATAGCTGGTTCCCAGCTCGTATTTTCAGAATTTTCTTCATAAGAGTAAAAAGAATTTTGGTCATTCTTGGTTTAAATTTCCACAAGACACTAGATTTTGCTATTTTCCCCTCTACTCATCAACCTACATGTAGGAAAGGAATAACTGAATTATGCACAAAATCCAAAGAAAATTCTGTAGAGAAGCAATTTTCCTTAACAGTCTGAAATTGAATTAAAATTGTTGTCTATTCTTTCAACTATTGGTTTGGCCTTATAATTGACATATTATCCCTAAACCAACTTTGATTTTCCACATTGATTCAAACACTCTCATTCACTTAGTTGAAAAGTCCATGTCTGCTCCAAAACCATTAGATAAAGTGCAGACTTGTTTCTCTTAAAACTAATTTCTAGCCATTTAAGAAGTCTGCCCATTAAACTAATAATAAAAACAAGAGTTGAAATCATTGTCTGAAGAACGTATCACAAGTTCTTATTCTGAATTGTGTTTGGAACAAAAAAGTGTACATCCTAGAATGATAAAAGCCAATATTAATTCAATAAACTACAAGTATCGTAGCTCAGACCTTTGGGCAGAAAGTGAAAGAAGCTTAAGTAAAAAGGGGAACTTGTTAAGCTTACTGTGTTAACCTCAATATGGAACCGAAGGACAGGGAGGGAGGCCAAGTGACTGGAAATCCATTTGGACTTCCATCTTTGCCACTCTGCACATCTTTGTCGTTTTCTTTTTCTTTGCAGACAGGTGGGCTCTGAGTTTGTGTGACCTCTAGAGACTGACCAGCATCTCTGTCCAAAGATCCAGAAGAGAGAACCCAATTGGCCCACCTGGGGTCATGTGACTAGCTATGGTCATAGAGGCAGAGTACTGTGGTCTGGCTGCCAGTACCCACTCCAGTGAAAGGAGACAATTTCTGAACTGGGCTGGGAAGACACTCAGAAAGTATTTACTACAATACAACTTTCATCAACATATCCCCTACACGGTCTTCCATTAAAGTGTTTATCTGCATCACAGGTAAATATAGCTGTTTTCTAGTGCCTCTCTGCCCACTCCTTGCGTCACATTTTCTGCTCCAGCAACAAAGAGTTGCTTGTAGTCCCAGCTTACCACCCACATCCCCCAATGCAATCAGTGAATTTCATGCCTACGTTCCTGGGCCCTCTGTGCTTGTAATGTTCCTCTTGCAACTCCCTATTCATTAGGCATCATGCCTGACAGTCACTGCTTCCTTCCGGACTTCTTTATCTTCCTGGGCTAGTTATCTCTTCTTTCTTTATGCGTCATAACATTGTGCACATTAATCTCTGTCATCATCCAGCTCCATTGTTTGTGATTTACTCTGTAGGCTCAGACATCTTTATAACCCCAGCCACTGTGAGCCTGGCCTACAGTGGGCGCTGCAAAATAGTTGAATGAATAAACTCCAAGTTTCCTTTTAGCTAATAATTGACTCTCTAGAGTTAAAAGATAGCGTGTGATTACATCAAAAGTATTGTCTGCCTGAACCCCTTAGAATAGTTAACTTGTCAAAGAACGAGACGTCAGGAAGTTCTAATCAGACGGCTGCGACTCACTGTCAGCCACCGCTTGAGAATCGCCTGCTGTTTACCCGGTGCCCTAACCGGTTTAATTTCCTCTTAAAACTTCTGCTGGGCTTGCCCTCCCCTCCTTTTAGATGCAGTTTTGATCTGGTGAAGTAATGGGCAGAGCAACAGTTTATGAAATTATTTTATTTTTTCTGCATATAAACGTTATTTTTCAAAGGCAATTTCATTAACTACATCCTGCAGTTCTGTGGACTTTCAACAACTTTAATTTACAAGATTCTCCTTGCTTTTCAGTCTTGAGACATACGTGTTTTTTTCTTAGTCTTAAAACTCACTCTGCACTCTAGTCCTAAAGGGTTTGACTTTCCATCTCCCATCGCAGCGTTAAATGCGCTTTTCCCCCAACCCTCTGTTGACACTTTAAGGGGTAGGGAAATGTTAAAGGGTTGATTTTTGTTAATCTCAGGTTTTGGGGGGAGGGGATAAAAGAGCAATCCCTCAGATAAGTTTTAAGCTGAACGTCCCTCCAAAAAAATAAAAAGCAACAGCAAAACCTCCAGGATCGCCTTTGGGTGCGTCGGGGCCGGCAGCCCCCCAGGTCCTAATAAATGAATTAGCATCTCAGGGAGGAGATCACTGCGGGGCTGATATTGATCAGGGTCAGCCGGTGTGTTTGCCTGCGATTGTTTGGGGGGTGGTTAATTGAGTGTCAGTCTCGGCCTGTGTCGTCTCGCTGGCGCCGGGTGCTTTTGGATTTGCTAATTTTCGTTAAGTGTCTCTAGCCGGCTACTCGTCCCCGGTCTACCCAGGAGAACTCAGCGGCTCCTACTGATCAACAGTCTGTCTGTCTGGGCTTTATTGATCACAGGGCGGGCGGCGCGAGGCGGATGCGCTCAGAGGGAGCGGGGGGAGAAGGCTGAAAGCAGAGCCCCGCGCCCGGCCGCCCCCCTTCCCGGCTCCGGACTGGACGCCCCCCCTCGGCCACGCGCGAGCCAGCGGGGCTCGGCAGGGGCGCCGCGCCGAGGGCGCACGCGGGGGACCGCCGCCCGGCCCGGGGGCTCCCAGAGCGCGCGCGCGGCGGGCGAGGGCGGCCACGCGGGGCTGTCGCGCGCCTCGGAGAACAAAACGGCAGCCACGGGCTGGGGACGCCGGCTCGAGGCCGAGTCGTGAGGGTCACGGAGGCGGGCGCCGGAGACAGACCCAGAGGCCGCGCTCGCCCCGCTCCTCCCGAAGGTCACGGACGCGCGGGCCTCCGCGAGGGGGAGTGCGGGAGACGGCAGCCGCCCGGCCCACAGGTCCCGACGCCGGCGCCGCGGGGAGCCGCCGGGCAGGTCCCTCCTCGCCCGCGCCGGGGCCCGCCCCCTGGCTGCGGCGCTGATGGACTGGAGCCGGGCGGCCAATCGGACGGCGCGGGCGCGGCCGGGGCGGGGCCGGGGGCGGGGCGGCGCCGGGCCGGCTCCCGGCGCGGGGCGCTATTTACGGCGCGGAGCCGGGCAGGCAGCGGCGGGCGCAGGCTGGAGCTCGCGGCTGGCGGTCGCTGCGCGCGCTCCAGAGCCTCTGCCTGCGCCGAGCGGCCGGCCGAGAGCCCTCCCGGGACTGCGGCGCCGAGTGGAGCGCGGGGCCGGCGGCCACAGAGCCGGCCCGCGGAAGTCCTCGGGCTCCCGGGCGCGCCCTCCAGCCGCGCTCCATGCGCCGGCCGCGGCCCGGCCCCCCGCCCCGTCGCTGACGGCGCCCGCCGCCCCGGGCAGCACTCATGCTCGGCGCGCGCCGGGAGTCGTAGGCTGCAGCTGCGCCGCGGCTCCGGGAGCCGGCGGGGGCGTCAATGGATCGCCATTCCAGCTACATCTTCATCTGGCTGCAGCTCGAACTGTGTGCCATGGCCGTGCTGCTCACCAAAGGTGGGTGCCCGCCGGCCGGGCGCGGGCTCCGGGGAGGGGCGCGGGGCTCCCGGGCGTCCGCCGCCGCCGCGGGCCTTTGAAGCCGGCTGCCAAGGCTTTGTGAGCGCCGGGCGAGCTTTCCTCCCGCGCTGGAGCCCGCAGGTCACGACAAGTTGCCTGTTCTTCGGAGTCGCGGCGGTGGCTTCGCGGCCGTCCCCTCGGTTGTCCCGGGCCCGGCGCGTGGAGGTGGCGTCAGACCTCGGAGCAAGTGGTTGTCAGTGTTTTGCACATCTGTCTGTAGTGAACTTGGGCACGCTCGCCGCCGGGGAGCAGGGACTGAGGACTGGCTGGGACCCGGGCGGGGGCGGCCGCAGACCCCTGCCCCCAGGGGCCCCGTGCCCGAGAGTGTGTGTGTCTCTCTGTCTTGGGATAGATTTCTGTATTTGAGCGTGTCTCTGTTTGAATGTGTCCGTGAGTCTGTCTTTGTGTGTGTGTCTGAGTGGCTTTGTGAGCCAGCGAGTGTAGGTCCGAGGTGCATGTGTCTGTGCAGGAGCGTGTGTTGCGCGGCCTCTCGGTGCCTGGGAGGAGCAGGCTCCGTCAGCGGTCCCAGTTCCCACTGACCTCATATTCTACAAACGCTACTCAAAAAAAAAAAAAACAAAAGAAAAACGCAGCGGTCAGTTTCCTTTTTTCCCAGCAGGCTGCACCTTTTAGATCGAAATAACTCGAACTCCCTCTAGGTTTCGAGGTTCCCTCCCCTCCCCTGCCATGAATTCTACCTACTGTTCTGTGAACAGATAAATTAAAAAAAAAAAAAATAGGAAGTGTTATTTAGCTTTTGCACTCCCCACTTTTCTCTAATTGCCATGTAGCAGGCATGAGGTTAAAGGATAAGCCAGCCCGGCAAGGATGATGTGCGACAGTGTTTATTTATTTTGGAAGGAAGGGTGTAATTAACCCTAAATAACAGCCCTCGCAGCCTGCAGAGCCGAGCCTCCTGGCCCTATCAAAGGCCGGCAGAACCGGGAGGGAGACGCTGACATGAAGTCACAGATACCGAAACTATGCGCCTGATAATGATATAATTAGGGGATCAGAGATTTCTGACTGCTGTGGACTTCAAAAGCTTTCAAAGCAGCCAGCAGCCTCTCCTGTAGCCATCTTGACTAAAGCAGACATTTTTGTTTAATCGCTACATACAGTAACGAGAGGGGGGGAAACAGAAGAGCATTGTTCACTGTTTCAAAATACCAGTCCCCTCTCTGGCCTTTTGCGTGCCACAGGAAGAAACTTTATGAAACGACAGAAATATAGTTTTAATACAGTAACACAAAAGTCCATTCAACTTGCTCAAATGTGGCTCCAATTAAAAAAAATGTTAGAACTTTCCTAGTTACCTGTCAAAATTTTATTGGACTGTTTTAGGTCATTGAAAATACAGGATTTTAAATAGGCTCCCATAAATATTTAAGCAGCACTTTACTTGTATTCCGTTTTCTTTTTCTGCACTAGGTCTGAGTGACGAGGGTCAAAATTGACTCTTAGTCAGTTTTATTACTTTAAATCTGTATATGGACTTTGTCAGACTAGCGATAGGAAGTTATCATCGCATCCATGTAAGACCCGTGAGCATCAAGCTTGGAAAGAGGAGAAACGAGCCTCTGCATAGCAGGATTCCAACTTGAAGGTCTTACTGGAGAAGGGGCTAGGGCCCAGACGCAGGACAGCCAGTGCAGATTTAGGATGGGAGCAAGACCTCCACCTTTGGGTGGTTCAACTCGAGATTGCCCAAGATCGGTGTTCAGTTGGCTGGTGTTTTTTTTTTAGAACCGAAGCGTTAGCAAGCAGCCTCTGGTGAAACTGAGCATACCGTACGGTGGCCTGGAATTTGAACAGATAATTAAGTGAGACACCTTACTCAGGCATTCACGGAGAGGACGAGGAAAGGGGAGGGTGGGAAGAGGTTTGTAAGGGGGCAAGCCGCAGTGTGTTTAATTTCAGAGCGGAGGTTTCAGTAACTAGACAGAACTTCAGGCTGGGAAGCTGGGAAGAGGTGTGTGCATTGGTTCGAGTTCCAGTAGCTTTAGCTGTGGCATGTGACAGTCACTGGAGTCCACCGTGTCAGATAGCAAATTAGTGATAACTCTGAGACCCAGATGATTCCGACTGGAAATTGATGTTGAAAGCCTCAGATCTTGCATTGCCACAAAGTGTTAATAATGACTTGCAACTCACAAAATAAGTTTTATAAAGGAAACTTTTAATCACTTCCTGTAGAAAAATTTGAGGTTTCCTTAAGGATTTTTCATTCAACCAGCAGAGGATTTTCAGTTTCGGTGTTTCCCCTTTTAGACCCCATGTTGAATTCCATGTAAAACTGGGGAGTTAGGGAGATGTTAGCCCCGGCGTTTACACCCTCCCCCTGCCCCCAGTTTTACAACTTTCCATTTGGGCTGAAAGAAATTGACTTTGGCAAGCAAACCTCTAATTGTAAACTGCCTAGTTCCTGTTTTACAATATACTGACTGAAAGTTCCTCTGCATGAAAAGATCTTTATAGGCAAAGTTTGCCTTTTCTAGAGAGGTTGCAAATAGCTGCCCAGTTTCATAGTTTTAAAACCTCCTGACCGGAGCAATTTCTAGATTGTTGTGTTTCTAGTTAATAACTTTATAAGGTGTTAGCGCAGGCTCTTAAATCTTGGCACAGCCCTTCAAGGTAATAAACAATTCTGTAGTTCCGGTCAAATATTTATCCTGACAAAATAAAAAATCCTAGCATTTTTATATTGTATGGTCATGGAGGATTAAAATGAATAAACGATGTAATTTGCCTTACAGTAGGAGAAATTGTGATTATTTTTCTTCAGAAATAAAAGTTATTATTTTTAATTACTTGCTAACTCATCAGAAATCTAAATTGAACAGTGATTCCCTGCTATCTAGATTAAAACATTTGTAAAATTACTTTTTGCTGGATTGAAATTGAAGCCCTGGCTTGCACAAAGGGCTTTCCAGGCTACAGGGCGCGCTCACCTGGCATTCTAAAAGTTAGTGCCTTGGAACTGGGGATTTAGAAATTGCTTAAGGAGATGCTTTATCTGGTCTCTGAAGCAGTTTGATGCCGTTTCTCCTTGTTTTCAGGTGAAATCAGATGCTACTGTGATGCTGCCCACTGTGTGGCAACTGGCTACATGTGTAAATCTGAGCTGAGCGCCTGCTTCTCCAGACTTCTTGATCCTCAGAACACAAATTCCCCGCTCACCCATGGCTGCCTGGACTCTCTCGCAAGCACAGCAGACATCTGCCAAGCCAAACAGGCACACAACCACTCTGGCCCCACCATGCCCACATTGGAATGCTGTCATGAAGACATGTGCAATTACAGAGGCCTGCACGACGTTCTCTCTCCTCCCAAGGGAGACACCTCAGGTAGGGAGAAGCCCTTTCTAACCAGAATGCTTGCCTGATCTATAGGCTTGTGACAGCCACGACTTTGTATGTCTGCTATTGATTTTGTTGTTAACGTAATTAGAGACACCAGAGGGAGAAGCATGGCTGGATGCAAAGATGCATCTCTCCTGAGTAGCTTTTATGGCTGCCTGAGCATTAGATGTCTGTCTACATAATAGGTTTTGCCTGTTTTTTCAACATTTTGAAGACATTAAAAGACCATTACTACTCAGTAGTGACAGTCTGTAAACAAATGTTTTTGTAGCTTCTTTACACTGTTTTGCAACATTTATTTTCAATATATCGTTGCTTTCCTGGTAAATTCTTTTTAATGGAGTGCCCTACGTAAAATGCGTAGACGATCCTGAATTTCTACAAGAAGAGACTAGCATAGTTTGATCATTTCGTTTGTATTCCTTTAGGACAACGAAACAGGCATCAGCATGACGGTAGCAGAAACCTCATCACCAAAGTGCAGGAGCTGACGTCTTCCAAAGAGCTGTGGTTCCGGGCAGCCGTGATCGCCGTTCCCATCGCCGGGGGCCTGATTTTAGTGTTGCTCATTATGTTAGCCTTGAGGATGCTTCGAAGTGAAAACAAGAGACTGCACGATCAGCGGCAGCAGATGCTCTCCCGTTTGCACTACAGCTTTCACGGACACCATTCCAAGAAGGGGCAGGTGGCCAAGTTAGACTTGGAGTGCATGGTGCCAGTGAGTGGCCATGAGAACTGCTGTCTGACCTGTGATAAGATGAGACAAGCAGACCTCAGCAACGATAAGATCCTGTCGCTCGTTCACTGGGGCATGTACAGTGGGCACGGGAAGCTGGAATTCGTATGACGGAGTCTTATCTGAGCTGGACTTCTTGGACGCTTGAAGGCCTCTGAGTTCTGCTGGACAGGAGCACTTTATCTGAAGAAAAACAAACTCGTGTAATCATCTTTGAGAGACACAATGACCTCTGCAAATAGAATCTTGGATATTTCTTCTGAAGGATTATTTGCACAGACTTAAACACAGTCAAATCTGTTATTTGCTTTAAAATTATTAAAAGCAAAGAGAAGACTACGTACACACTGTTACCAGGGTTATTTGCATCTGAGCGAGCTGGAATCGAGTACTTAATAAACTAAAATGTGCTCTATGGAAGCTCCTACAGCTTGATTTATTGTAAAGATTAAAAAATATATATATATATTTTGTCTGAAATTTAGTGGTGTCCTGTCATAAATTAAAACCTAAGTGGGAAGTGTAAGAAACTACATGTTGATTATACAAGTGGAGATCTGTTGCTCATGGTAGGGTCTTGACTATAGCATTTGGCTTGATGATGATTTTTTTAAAAAGAAGACCAAGATCTCGTTTATTCTTACATGTGTAATTTTCGTACTGCGTGGAGAATTTCTAAATGTGGACTGCCCACCATTCAGTGTCCTGCCCACATCTTTTGTTAGGATCATTCTGGTTTTTAGCTTTCATTTAAGAGAAATCTTAAAACTTATTTATACCACATCAGATATGATCGATGAATTTTTGAAATCTCCTTAGCAAAGGTAATTAATATTTATCAACTTCATCTAGTTGCTCTGGAGTACCTTTTTTAAATGTGTCTACCTCCAATCAAAAAAAAAAAAACCCTACTAAACGAAACTTCTTTTTGTAGTTAAAGTTATTCTCTGTCTACTTTTACTGCTGATTAATTCATCAGTTTATCTCAAACCAAATTAAATATTTGGGATCCAAATTAGCCAAATTTTATTGTACCATGCTCCTAGTTTTCAAACCTTCTTTCGACAGTGTTATTCTAACATTTTTTTTTTACTTTTCAATTTTTAGAAAGGTTTTCAATAGTGAACATATATCAATTGAGATTTAAATAACACAACTTTCTCCCCCAAATTATCCTTTTATTAATAGAACCAAGTAGAACATTGACTTTAGCTACAAACTAATACACTAACAGTGTTCCTCCTCCTGTGGGACTTTCTGTCTGGCGATACTGCCCAGCCTGAATTTAAACCCGTGCCACATTTGTGTACTTTTCCCTCAAAATGAGTCTTTGTTATCTTAAATATGAGAATAATTTGCCATGTAGGGTTATCTTCTTGATTCTTTTGTATATTTGAAACTTTTGCTTAAAAATTAACCTATAGTCTACATAGTTGAATACGGGGTTTTCTTTGATGAGTGTTAAAGGATTTTTTTTTTGCATATTTTCTGGAATATTTTATGAGAAGCTTAATTTGGGTCCCTTAGGACAGATGCAGTAGCCAAGGTCATGGAAGAATCTGAGTTGAAATGACTGGTCTAAAAATGAATACCTAGATTATTTAATAATTAATAGACCACAACCCCAAACAAATTAGGCTATGGAATAAATACGCATCTTAATAAATAACGGCATTTGTATTGTGCTTTTTGAGATTGACAGTTCTCGCATGCATGACTTCTGATTTATATAAGGTGTGTCAATTTTTGAGGGAGGCAAAGAATTGTTGGACCTACTATTCAAACCTGTCGAGGGAAGAGAATTGATCAAAATTGCCAGTTGGTGAAATTTCACCCTCACCTCCGCTTTCCAGCTCTAGATCGAATGACAGGAGTTCTGTAGCTTGAAGATTGAAAGACTTGCTCCTTGTGCCCTTCTCATTTCATAGAGACCATCAGGCAAGCTCAGTGATCCTTGAAGCGGCCGGCCTTTATATCAGCTCCGTGTAGTTAATTTTCCTGCTCTGCTGTTATTCCTATTTATCCCATTTCTTCCAAGAACCAGTTCACTAAGAACTCAACAATTCATTAGGAAATGAAAACAATGAAGCATTTAAAGTTGTATGCTTTGAAACACTTTGAAATTAGTAAACCCCATCCTCCAGGAAAGGCCTGGGTCTGCGGTGGTGATAAAATGACAGAAGTTGAATGAAGATGAATGAAAAGTGTTTGCACTTGGTTCTGTTTTCCCTGACCTGCCTTTTGTTCTTTCTCCTGTAAATTCATAAGAGCTGTTTACCCCTCCCTGTTGGATGGGGTGAGGGCTCTGTGCCCACGCTGTCAGACTGAGTTTTGTAGGGCTCAAGCTCTAGTCAACGTTACAGACTGGCCCTGTCTCTTTTCCTAATAACGAATCCTCTCCTTTTGATACCCTCTCGTTCATTTAGTATTTGCATGTGTCCTTGCCACCAATCCTAAAGTCAGATCTGCACATGACTTGGCCTTTCGACGAAAATACTGCAGGTTTCTCAAATTTGATTTTTACTAAGAACTAAATATAGAGTCTGCTTTTGCTTCCCTGTGAGAGCGCAGGAGTTGCCAAGAGCGGAGATAAAGGACCCTTCATGAAATCACTACCTACCTGACGCGGTGATGTAAGAGTGGGGATGACTGGTGTGTTTGTTTTTCCCTCGTGGAGATGTTTACTGTTACTTTGAGGTGTCAGTACAAGGCTGGGCTAACCAGGAACAGCCCTTGTTTAATATTGACATAGAACTCCCCAGAAAAGTAACTTTCCTTTCTGAGTGGAAATTTGCCCAAACCAGAGACAAATGAGACCAAATTTGCCATGATGTTTCTGTATCTACACCCCTCACATTCTACCCCTTTTGAAAAAATTGATCTGTACGTGGTTATGTCTTTTATGTTATTTTTCCTCATTTTGAATCGCTCAGAGGCTTCCTAGAAATTGACTGGTGTGTCTCTAATTTCTGCTGAACTGATTTTATTAAAAACACTGCACCATAGGGGGTTTGACCTTCTAAAATACCAAACATGTCTGCTTTAGAAAATCACAAAGCTCTCCTCTGAACAGCTTGTAAATCTGGTTTCAATATGGGTTGATTATAGGCTAAAAGCTTGAAAGCAGTGGCATCTAGTATCACAGTCTGGAACGAGCCTTTTTGGGGCCAGGACAGCTTTTTCTCCTTATAACATCTAATTGGTCCTCTTCTCTGTCTCTTAGCCCAAATAACTTTAAACCTCCAAACGTTACGTGGTGTCATGAGGATGACGTCAACCAAGGTGGTGATCAAGTACACTGTGGGGTCTCGCAGCCTGGGCTCTCGGGTTGTCGTTGTCCCCAGTAGCTGTGTGAACGTGGGCATACTGCTTCAGCTCTTTGAGTACTTGGGATTGTTGCCTATAAATTGGAGGCAATAATAATACTTTATATGATTATTGTGAGGCGGCACAGTAGCTATTCCTATTAATGCATGCAAGAGTTTTGGATGAATTAGAACAGTCCAATAGTCCTCAAAATTTGAGAATTTGTGCCTATTATTTATACAGTGAATATTTTTACTTGACTTTTTAATATTTCAGATCTTTGCACATTTGAGCTTTGCAGGCCCTTCAGTCACCTGCAGACTGGATTTAACATTTTTAATATTTGGTTTCAATTTGCTGCTTTTAGCCTCTCCTACCTATAAATTAGGATGGTTTGTAATTGTTTCCTTTTGGAATGATCTAGATGGCTACTGATAAGAACATTTTAATTTTAGACACCTATTTTGTTTTTCAGTATTTGGCAGAATGAAGTTCTCGTAGAGTTTCAGCTGCTCCGGATGGTTCATTCATTGAGAAAATCAAGAGAGCCAAGTTAGGTGACAGAGAAAGTTTCAGAATTGCTGGAACAGTTTGTGTCTGACTGATGCTTTCTGAACAAGTGCTACTATCAATTACCATTTGCCCCATGGGTGTTCTCAACAAAATACAATAGTTCCAAGACTCGTTCTGGGGACTTTGTGAATTTTTTGGGGGGGAGAGGTACTACTTAGTGAAGCAGCCATTTAATTTCCCTAGATGAAGTGAATTTAGTTGCTCTGTGGGTCTCAGTTACAATGGAGAAAGTAACCACTCCAGACACCAGTTCACTCCCTTCCCTCTACCGAATTCATCCTGCCATGTTGCCCTCACTGTGCTCACTTAAAAAGGCAGATTCTTCATCTGAGAATTTGAGATCCAATGAAATAGTGAAATTAGATGCTCTTCCAAATGTTGACAACTCCTAATGTGGGTACAGTTTTAGACTCTGAACACATCCTTGTTAATTTGCTGACACTGCACTGTCCTGTAGCATGGTGGTGAAATTCACTTATCTGCCATTCCAGAAATTTGGAGATGGAACTGGGAATGTGGCAGAGCTGATTTTAACCAGATTGGGGTTTATTTCTTGCATCAAGGCAGGACTTTTCGGGTGGATCTACTTTCTAGAGTTTCAAAGTATTTATTACTAGGGAAGGCCTACCAGTCACGTTTCTGCAAACTTTCCCCATTCTATGAATATGAATGGGGTAAATGGAAATGCATTGATAAGCAATCTTGGGAGTTACTTTGGGTAAGTAGTTAGATAATATCTCAAGGCATTTGTCATTCCTCGAGATTAGTAGGGGATTCACCCACCTAGTAGCCTCGAGCCAGATGGCCTTTTAAGGGTTATTTCGGGTTGTATTTAGCTACTTATATCTTACAGATTAGATTGATGTTGGACTAAACCTGAGCAGAATCCTGGAAAGATGAGTTGATAACCATCTTATTGCATGCCATATGTATATATATATGTCATACGAGCCAAACAGTCTTTGGAATCCTGGAATAATTTTACATTTAACAATTTTCAAGGCAGTAAGTAGACGCTGGAATTTGTGAGGTCAGCAATTTGTTTTTAGACATGTGAAGACTAAGTTAGTTGTGATGAATTAATAAAGTCAGAGGCTGTTGTGTAAATTCACTCTGAAAGATCTCGCATTACAAACCTAATGGAACAAAAATTGTTTTAGCCGTTAAAACCAAGAGAAATACAGAAAGCTCTTTATCCCTGGTCTCTTCCCCTTGGATTTTTCCCCAGGGAACTGATGAGGACAGTGGAAAAACACCACACTTCTAAAAGCAGTTTCTTACTTTTCAAGTGTTAGAGGTTCACTCACTTTAGTGGACGTGATACCATAGACTTTATTCACAGTTGCCTTGGTAAATGAGGTATTTCTCACCTGGCTTTAGAGATCAAACTGTGAACTCCCAGTGGGGAGGAGGTAGGATCAATAACCTTTGTACTTTTCCACAGTCCAAGGAAAGGAGAGGATGAGATGAAGGACAGATTAAGGTCTCTTTGTCATCAGGCATCTGAATTCGAACTGACAGTAAATAAATACTGTCTTTCTCTTAGTTTCTCTACCCTAAACTATTGTTTCACAGATTTATAATTTTCCTATGGGAAAATTATAAATATGCTTCCTATGGGAAGCCTCAAGGAAAACAAATTGCTAGTGAAGGGAGTCGAGGAGAAACCATTCAAATGGATCTGAAAATTAATGAAGCATTGACAGTCAACCGGCTCTGCCCACCTTTTAAATTTGAGGCAGTCTCCAGGCTAATTTAAGGATGCTAATTCTCACCAGGAAGTGTATCATCATTCCCCATTAAACCAGGAGTTGTACTTTCATTTTAATATTTTAACATATCCAAAGTTTTCCTCAAACATTGTTTCTCCAGGGAGTTAGGAACAAGCCAGTGAGAGTTTTGTTGGGTAAAGAATCTGGTATCACCAGGCTGATGCAGTATTTCATTCAGTGGCTTGTGCCACCCACACTGGGGCAACTTTGGCAAATTCTCTTTTCTTCTCCTGGAAGTAAACCTCTGACTAGAGGCTATAATAAAAGCAACAAATAGCTTGCTGCATCTTTCATTCAAAGATACACCAAAAGTTATAAATTACCGTCCCTCAACAAACACTTAGTATCTTCATTAAAAGATTACCTTTTACCTCAAAACTCACGTAGCTCTTATGCATCCATTTACAGTTTATTTAGACAATTTAGACTTTTATATTTGTTTCTTATATTATTATATAGTGTACTCAAGAAAATTACTTATGCATAGATAAATTTAAATAACCAAAGGTAAATTTAGAAAAAAATGTGTGTGCAAGGGGTGCTCATTCACGCCTTTCCAATCCTTACCTTGTTTCTAGTTTCTCAAATTCCTTTTATTTCTTTAAAAATATTTTGTATATACATATACTTATATTTTCTGTGAGCCCTAACTCAAACCAACGTCAACCTGCTTCTGGTAATGTTTGTTAAAATTACAAATAAAGTGTGGGAAAGAAGCCCTGTCTCTTTAAAAGCAGCACGGTAGTCAACATTTTCAAAGGCAAAGTTCTTTGCCTGAAAGAGGAAAAAGCATTCTCTCGGCAGGAGCCGGGTTGCAAGCACCCCACGCTCCCCTCGGGCTCGGGCTCCCCGGGCCTGCTCGCGTCTGGCTGCCGAGTTCCCAGGCTGACAAGCAGGGGCCGAGCTGCCCTCGGAGGCTGGCTGGACGGGCTGTCGTCCGTCTGGGATCGCTAAATGTCAAGGGTCGTTTTCCCAGCCTGACGCCTGATTGTGAAGCAGGTTACGAGGTCCATCCTTC